CCTATAAAAAATTCATAATAAATAATAAATCAGATATGTGTATTCCAAGTATGGATTAACTTATTTTCATCCCTAACGTGATATAGATTCAAATATATAAAACAATGGTTTTAATTTAAAATAATTTTATTCATACAATATTATTTTAATTATAGTTTATAAATTTTCATAACATCATTAATAAAATATGTTTAAAATTGAAATGATATTTTTATTTGATTAGTATTTATTAAAGTATTTATTAAAATAATGAATGAAATTAAAAATTTTCATTAATTAGATAACCAATTAAAAAAAATTACTTATTAATTTAAAATTCCATATAACACAGACTAAAATGACACACAATTCTGAAAAATAAATATATTTTAAAATTTTAATTTTCAAAAATAAACATTATAAAACACATTATTCTAATATAATTTTAAACATTAAAACAACCTTTTTTTAATGGAATTAATGTAAGTTTTTTGATAATCATTTTTATTTAATATTTAATAAAATTTATTCATATTCTGCTTAATAATAAAGAGTATGTTAGAAAATCAGATTCGATCCATCGAGCGCATGCTCCGAAAGGTAACCCTAACCCTAACCCTATTTCATCTTTTCCATTCCTTTCTATTCATTTCTTCGAATTCGTAAAGCAGAGTTTGCCTCTCGAGGCGCGAGAGGCGCAGGAGCAGAAGTTGGAGGGACTGAAGAAGCAGCAAGAGATTCACACGCGCCTCACCGCCGAGCGTAAGATATTCCTGCGCGACCGCAAGATCGAGTTCTTCAAGAGGAGGAAAATCGAAAGACGAATCAGACGCCTCGAGAAATTGCACCGTTCTTCTTCTTCTTCTTCTTCCTCCTCCGCACAACCTTACTCCGACCAGCTTTCCGCTCTCAAACAGGATCTTCAATATGTCATGGTCTGTATTATGCTGTTTTTTTTTGTAGTGTTGACATAGCGAGAAATGTTGACTTAAAATCCGTTGTTGTTCTATTTCTGTTTGCAGTACTTTCCCAAGAATGAGAAATACGTTCCTTTGTTTACCGGCGGTGATGATTCGGAGATTATTGACAGGAGAGAAATGGGCTGCGCAAATAGATTGAAGATAGGTTAATTGCAGCTGCTGCAAGTGGCAAGGATTTAGAAGGTTCATTAATTTTCATGATTCGTGCCGTCATATATGAGTTTAGAATGTTGATGCTCTACGAGAGATTTGTTTTAGTTGTGTGAGCCCTACCTGAAATTGTTGGTTGTGTGACACCCTCTACCCCAACATACATATACAGTAATTATAAAAAAATAAAATTTTTCATCAATAAAAATCAAATTTCCAACCACGTAAGGGTAAAGAGTTCACATTCATAAACTTAATCCAAATAACATGCCGGTAAAATTACAAAGAAATAAAATTGAATTTTCCAAAATAATTTAATAAGAACATCTTAAACTAATCCTATCTATGTCCCGATGTCACATGTCCTATCAGAGCAAAACCTAACATAGAAGCCTAAGCTTCATCACCAACATCTTCAGCCTCACGCTGATGATCACCTGTATAATAGTCAAAACAAAACAACACGAGAAAAGGGAGTGAGAAACATCTCACTCTAGCTCACGGTATAGAAATATACGCCGGATAACCAAACACAAACAAGACAAATATAGCATAGATATGTTAA